TTAAAGATTATTTCTTTAATCTCTGCAATAAGTAATGTGCTAGTGTGAAGAATGATATATCAGGATTATCATTTGAACATTCATAACCTTTGAACATTCATAAAATGAAAGCAAATCCTGTTAGTTAAAACAGTTGGACATTCTCTTCTTAAGCTGAAGATATTATTATTTCTAAACTGATCCAATTTGCTCTTTCTTCATCATTAAAGATATTAGTTACCTAAAAGTCATTAAATGTTGCCAGAATTTTAGGAAACATAATGGCTAGGTTGATCTCCATCTGTCAAGGATGTTTAGGCAGGACACACAAACAACAGGCATGGGTTGGAAAATTAAATATGTGATATTTTGTACTTAATTTCTAGCATGCCTGATTTCCAACAGTCAATTTGTGGGCAGGAGGGGATGGTGTCTATTGGAGCACAGACCCCATTAAGATAGTTTGGTATGTTCGAGAATGTTCCCATGTCAAATTCCTGTGTTTTGATAAGAGCTTAGTTAATCAGATTCTTCCCTTTGAATCAGGAGGCTTGAGCTTAAAATCCTACACAAATAACCTTTCTTAAAATTTGTTTGGCAAGATGGTTGTAATCCAAGGGGCCAGGTTAATGGTCTGGGGATAAGGGTTCATATTCTACCATGGCAGATAGTGAAAATTAAAGATCTGGAATATAAAGCCAGTCTCAGCAATGGAGACCATGAAAAGCCCAATTAGCTCACCAATGTCATTTAGGGAATGAACTCTGTCATCATTACCTTAGCTGGTCTGCATGTGATTCCAGAATCACAACAATGTGATTGACTTTTAATTACAAAATGGACAAGTACATCAATTAGTTCAAGGGTAATTTTGAGGTGAAGAGGTGTTTAGGTGCTCCAGTGCATTAGTCGTATAACGTTTAGTATTAATTTACAGTACTCAATCGAGAAGGCTAATGTGATGCTAGGCCATATTATGAAAGGAATTGAACCTAAAAGTAAGGATGGTATGCTTCAATTATACAGGGCCTTGGTGAGACCACATCTCTAATACTGTGTGCAATTCTTGTCTCATTTTTAAGGAAGGATGTAATTGCAATGGGGGACTAGATTGCGAGGAAGTTTATTAGATTGATCCCTGAATTGAGTGCATTGTCTTATCAGGATAGGTTAGAAAGGCTGGGCTCGTTTCCTCTGGCGTTTGAAAGAATGAGGGGTGAATTGATTGAAGTGAATAAGATTCCGAATGTTCTTAATAAGTGAACGTGGAAAGGATGTTTCGTCTTGCGGGTCAGTCCAGAACTAAGAGATGCAGTTTATAAATTAGGGGTCTCAACTTTCAGAACATCGATTCTTGTTAAATGAGGGAATCAAAGGTTGTTGGGGTGAGTGGGAATGTGGAATTCGAAACAGATCAGACACAACAGACTCTCGCTTATTGAAGATTGTCATTGTTTAGCACTTGTTGGCAAAAATATTACTTGCCAGTTATCAGCACAGGCCTGGATAGTGTCCAGGTCCTTACTGTGAACATGGACTGCTTCAAGACTTGAGGAGTTTTGAATTGAATTAAACAGTGTTTGATTGTTAGTGAATATTTCTTACCTTATATTGGACAGAAGATCATTAGATTCATGAAGTTATTGAGGATGTTTGGCCTAGGATAATACCATGAGCCACTCCGGCATCAGTAGGTTGGAATGCGCTGAGCACAAAATGTGAATAGTTAAGTACAATGTTAAAGGAGTGCAGCACTTTTGAAGGTTCTGCCTTTATGACGAGGTATTAACTGAAACCTTATCTATCCTCTGAATTGAATATAAAGAATCCCAACACACTATTTTAAAGAAAAGCAAGAGAGTGCTGTTTTCTTTTACTTTGGATATGGGCACCACTGACTAGGTCAACATTTATTACCCATTCCTAGTCGCCCAGAGGGCAGTTATGAGTCAACCACATTGCTGTAGGTCTGGAGTCACATGTAGACCAGGCCAGGTGGCAGATTTCCTTCCCCAAAGGACATGAAAGAACCAGATGGATTTCTACAGAAGTTGACATGTGGTAATAGGTCACCATTAAGTCTGCTTTTTTTTAAGTTTCATTATTTTTAAAATTTTTAAAGTTTCATTATTTGCTCGTGGTGGAATTGAAGCCCATGTCATCAGAACATTAGCCCAAGTTGTATTGGCTCAGCTGTTTAGTTATCCAGGTCAATATTTGTAATTCAAACAATATCACTGAATTGATTAATTTGCTAGGAACAAATAACCAGTGTGAGTACATGTTACTAAAGTGACTATACTTCAAAAAAATACTTCATGGGCTATAAAATTCTTTGGGATTTCATGAGGCTGCAAAAGGTGAAAATGATTTCTTTTAGGCTGCATCTAAAGCTTTAAATTTTGTTTAGAATTATTTTGCTATTAGTGCATTGAAAAGTTTGCATCAATGTTTTTAGTCTTCTGATATTGCTGTTAAGCACAATTACTGTGATCACTATGCTTATAAAGTAGCAAATGCTTGAGCAATTATAGTAATTCCTATGGCTTGTGAAAGGGCTGCTCTCTCATTAGTGAGTTGACTAGTGGTGTGTTTAATCTAAGGGTCACCACACCTCAGGTAATGGGTGAAGTTGAGAAGGAGAGTCCTTCATGGTTAACCTCAGTCATTAGGGGAATTGTAAAGGATTAGTATCACAAGCCAGCAGGCCAGCCAAATGAGCTAATCAGCCTCATCAGGCTATGAGTGGTTGTGTCAGCTGCCATTCTGTTTATCTGGTTGAGGTGCTAAATGATCTATTGTCTGCAGAGATAACAATGCCTCAGGTTCTATTTTCACTCTTGTACTTATACAGTGTTGTAGATACAAACAATGCCACTTTCGCCTGAGTATAACTAAGATACTTGTGTTTAGCACTTCCAATGCAATGTTGAAATAGTGACTGATCTGCACCAAATATCACAGTCCAACTTTAGAATTTAAAGACTAGTACAGCTCTTCCTGTTCCATTCAAGACCATCATATAATTGAGTCTATGGCTCAAGATTCTTTTGCTAAGGTTGTTATTACTGAATAAGGTAAAGATCCGATGCACATTTGCTTGCAGGTATAACTTTATCAATCACAGTAGAAAAGGTACAGAAAATGGAATAGAAAAAAATGATTATACCAGCTGGAAGACATCCCAAGTGGGCACAGCATTATACTTGTAATCAGCATGGCAACTTAGACATATCTATCAACTCAACATACATCTCTTGAGTAATGTTCAAATTTGTCTGATGATTTCTTTTATCCTCTGTTTTTCATTCCATTACTCAGGATGTGTTCACAATGCTTTTTTGCTCCAAACATCTTTTCTCACTGTACTGCTTGTTGAAGTCAAATGATATCTACTATTTATTAAAAGTATTACATCTACACCAAATTCCAATCTATGATGCCTTATTTCATGTTGTCAATTTGTGAATTAAAGATCCACATTTAAAATGGAAAATGTTTAAGTAAATGCATCACAATGAAAACAGCGATGGTTCTTTTCCTAGACTACAGAGAATCAGCTGTGATTCAATAAACCAAACATTTGCTATTTATCTATCAGCAATAATATCAAATCAGAGAACCATCTAAAATAATGACAAAATGCATTTAAAAAGGGACTGAATTATATCTACATTTCCCCCGTAGTCCTGCTTCACCTGAAGACTGTACTTAGGATTGTTTTATTATTTACAGTATCTTGGAAAATCAACTAACTTTTATAAAGCATCAGAATTAGAAGCAAAACATCTGATATGAACCACTTCACTTTCTATATACTGTAAATAATACAAACTAACTCTTCCAAACACTTTTTAAAAACTTTTCCTTTTTAGATGGCTTTGTTCCATTCAAAATGGCAACATCAACCATGTGAACAACTATATGAGGTGAGGTGGTGGTGATGGTGTATTGGTAATGTCCTTTAATTAGTAATGTCAAATCCAGGCTATTATTCAGGGGATATGGGTTCAAATCCTGCTGTAGTAGGTGTCCTAATTAAAAAATAAGTAATTAAAAAGCCTAGTGGTGACTTCATAGCCATTGTCAGATGTTATGAAAACCCAACTGTCTCACTAATGTCCCTGAGGGAAGGAAATCTGCCATCCTTACCTGGTCTGGCCTACATATGAGTCTAGATCCACAGCAATGTGGTTCACTCTTAAAAAAAAACTGCCCTCTGCTAGCACAGTCAGCAATGCCCACATCCCATGAAAGAATAAAACAAAGCACCATTATTGAATTTTGCCATTTTATTTATATATGTAGATATTTTTGCATGAAAGCCAACTCATTAATCAGGATCACTAAAACTATGTGAGCAGTAAATTGAAAACTAGAAAGAAATTGGCAGGCATTTTTTTACCAGAACAGGACTGTCTGTCTATGCTAGTCATCTACTGGCTAGTCTGCTGGATCAGCTTTATATCTATCTTCATTAAGGCAATTTACCTTTATTGATTATTTAACACTGCTCCTGAAAAAAAACTAAGCTGGAAGATTGGGCCTTAAAGTTGTTGCTACAACTGGGAGAGAGAATGATCCTGGCATTGACTAGCCTCAGAGCATAGTCTGCAGCTGCAGCTTGTAGAGAGTGATGAGGCCTGGACATGAGAACACAATAGAGGAGTGACATCTGTCCCACAGGGGATGTATGGAATCTGATTCATAAGCAGTTTTGATAATGAATGGATGGTGTTTTGTCTTGTTATCTTTTTTACTTTGTTCTGACTGCCGGGCATGGTACAGTTGATTGCATTTGAGAATTAGAATTAGAATTAAATTTTATTGTCATGTGTATGCAAGTATAGGAATACGTAAGTACAGTGAAAAGTGTACAAAGTCACCATTCTCTGGCAAAGTGCACAGCTGGATGAACACAGCAGGCCAAGCAGCATCATAGGAGCAAAAAGGCTGACGTTTCGGGCCTAGACCCTTGCAAAAAGGCTGACGTTTCGGGCCTAGACCCTTCATCAGGCCTGCTGTGTTCATCCAGCTCTGCACCTTGTTGTCTCGGATTCTCCAGCATCTGCAGTTCCTACTATCTCTCACCATTCTCTGGCACCATGTTTGTTACAAGACCAGAATCTCTTAAAAAAAAACAACAGCAGCAATAAGAAAAATATCCAGATCTCCAAGTCTAAGTCTTAGCTCCATAAAGGTTTTTGGAAATACTGATGCAGGCACCCAGGCCTAACCACAACCTGAAGTCTCAGTTAGCCTGTGAGTCTCACAGCGGTCGCAGGGAGGAGCTGCATTTTTGTTGCTGCTGATGCACTGCCTCCGATCACTGGAGGAGCTTTGCCACCGTTGCTGCCACCACCGGCCCCGAATGCCAGGAGGAAGTCCTTGCTGCCGTCTCCAATTGCCAGGAGAAGCCGTGTCCACTGCTGTCTCAGACCACAGGGAGGCTGCTGCCATTCCTCACATGGCCCAATGTCTCTGCTGCACTGATGCTGCCAATTAACCCTCCGTAAAAGGTTTTAAAGAAAAGAAAAATGAGAAAAAAATATGAAGTACAAAGAAAAAGATCAGGAGTTTAAAGAAAAGAAAGAAATTAGACGGGTGTGGACAAGCCCAGCTCAGGAGCCTGCACACAGCCCTATTACTCCGCAGCCATCTTGTTTGAAAGCTGTTTGAAAGCATTCCAGTCTCTGGGCCAGAAATAGACTAATCCAAAAAGTCGGCTGGTGAATGGCAGAATTGGAGCCAAATTTGGCACAATTATTTTATTCATCCAGTAACACAAGCATGCACTTCCTCACCCAACAATTTAGTTTTTAGTAATTGTATTTATAAGACTCATTTGAATCGTCAGTTGATGTCCATATCTTGCACACGATAAAACAATTAATATTCAGTTATCAAGATGATTGTGGCTTCAAATCTCACTGAAGTACTTGAGAACAAAGATCAAGGCTGACAGTCAAGTTCAGCACTAAGAAAGTATAGTGCTGAGAGAAACAAACAAAAACAGAAATTTGCTGGAGAAACTCAGCTGGTCTGGCAGCATCTGTGGAGAGAAAACAGAGTTAGCATTTCAAGTACAGTGACCCTTCTTCAGAATTCTTCAAGTGTGCATAAGAGATGCCATGGCAAAACTCTGAAGAACAGCAGGTCAGTTACCCCCAATCTCAAACCAATATTCATCCTTCAATCAACATCACGGAACAGATTATCTGTGATCGCTGCATTGCTGTCAGTGGCATTCTGAAGATGTGAAAATTGGCTACCAGTTTCCTACATTATAATAGCGATTACATTTCAAAAGTATTAATTGGCTAAATAGGACATTGGGGTATCCTGATGTCATGAGAGGCACTATATAAATCCAAGTCTAAAGAAGGGAGATCAGCTGAGACTACAGACCACCACTAAATAACATAGCTGCAATGAAGTGGGAGGATATTCATGGAGTATAAATATATGGTCAGGTTTGCTGTTATCAGTATTTTCCAAAGCATTTTGATGGAGAAAACCAACATTAAATATTTCCTGTTTCAGATCCTGTAACCTTTACCCTATTGTTCTACTGCTTCCGTTGACATGGTTTGAACCCTTTTTATTTTTTGTCTCATTCCATTATCTTTCAGAGCATAGAACAATATTCTTTTTATAGATATTTGTACGAATTTAGTTTGCACAATTGTCAGACTGTTTGATTAGCTTTTATGATCATAGGATATATAGGGCAGAATCTTACAGGTGCCTGGACAACGTAGGCTGTAGTGAGAAATGTAACAGAATTGTTTGAGTGGCCCAGTATGGCTTATCGTGACATCGGGAACAACATGTTATATCTTTTAACTAAGTTACGGGCATCAAGTTGAGGTTCTCGCAAGGGAGCAGTGAATTGCTCGTTAAAAGGGATTGTTGCTGTTAATGACCTGAAGATCTTGCCTCATGCAGATCTTAAGCATAAAACCCACGTGAGCAAACTAGACATTGGTAATTCTTAGCATGGAACTCATAGTGGTTACCTAGTGACTTCCATGTTGGTCAGCAGGCACCAACATCTTAGTGCATGCTTCATGGGCACTGGCTGTACATGGCCAATGTGCATGGGGACAATGCCATCTGATATGTGTAACTGTCATGGCACATCTCTGATCCACTAACATGATGCTTCTGAACTTCAACGTTGCACCTCAGGCTGCACTGGCATCTATCATTTTAATGTTGCAGCAAAGACTTATGGACTACAACAGGCTGAATCTCTATACTTACTTGTTCATTTGCTTTCTTACTGCTCACTCACTTTGAGCCTACCTGGATGCTCAGAGTGACCGAGCCCTGGCTTGCCTTTTTGTGTCTTGCCAGGCTGACATTACTTCTCTCTTGTTGTTTAGCGCAGAAACGAAGCTTGGAAGCTTGTCATGGTTATTAGCTGGACTCAGTCAAGTCAAAGAGAATAGCCTTCAGTCAGGGGGTGCTGGCACAGTAAGTCAAGGACAGACTCCAAAACCAATCCAGGGGCTTGGACACAGTCAGTTAGCCGTTTGGGGCATTCAGAGTCAGGATACTGTCTGCATAAAGGGTGAGGAGCCAAATATCAGAAGTCCCACACCCACCTTTATTGTCACATGTACCAAGATACAGTGAAAAGTATGGTTTTGTGTGCTAATCAGACATATCATGCCTTAAGTAATTACATCAGGATAATAGAACAGAATGTAGAATATAGTGTTACAAGTACAGAGAAGGTACAGCGAAAGATCAAATTTGATATATATGAGAGGTCCATTCATAAGTCTGATAACAGTGGGGAAAAAGCTATTCTTAAATCTGTTGGTACATGTTTTCAAGCTTGTATCTTCTGCCCAATGGAAGAGGGTGGGAGAGAGAGGTTGTTGGTTATATTAGCTGCTTTCCCGACTGCAGATGAAAGCAATCAGGGCTATCATTGTCGACAAAAATCATGTGCACATCAGTGTCTGTTCAGAACATACACCGTACTTCCAATTGTCAGGGATGTAATATCAAAAACACTTAAGGCTTTCCTAGGAGGCAATTACTGATCTGGGTATGCTCCTTCAACAAAACCTGCAGCCCTGTGGCTTTGGAGGCAGGCTCATACCAACCCCCCTAAAGCTCATGACTTATTCCAGGGTTCTGACAATGCTATAATTGACAGTCCTTTAATTACAAAAGAGGACATGGTCCAGATATAATAGAGAGCAGCTGATGCTCTTTGGAGCCTATATTTAAGGTTTATTTCTAAAAAGGGCCCTTTTGTGGTACAGTGGTTGTGTCTCTAGCCCTGGAGTGGGAGGCCTAGAGTTCAAGCCCCATTTGCTCCAGAATACAGCAGTAACATCTCTAAACCGGTTGATTAGATCAATAGGTTAAAAAAAAAGTGCCTTCTTGTCGTATCTCTATCCCTAGACTGGTGGGCCTTAGTTCAAGTCCCACCTGCTCCAGTGGCGTGTGATGATATCTCTGAATGGGTTAATTAGAAAAATGGATTAAATTTTAAAAAATGAAAAAAAAGGCAAATCTCCATTTAATTTAGCCTCCCTCCCTCCCTCTCTCACATTTGACAGCTTGTATCACCCTTAACAGGTTTCGCACATAAAGATGATTAATAGATGAAAGAAAATCCATGGGTGATTTCATAATGGGAAAAAAAAAATCAGTGTGTGTAAGATCACTTCTGGATATAAAAAAGGAAGGCCAATTTCTGTATATAAAAAAAGGCTGATTTCTGTAAAAGAAGTGAAAACCACAGACCTGAGTGTTCTTGCGGTACAGTGGCAGTGTCTCTAAAAAGAAGGTTGATTTCTGGCAGGGAGTGGAGTGCTTTATCTCTCCTTTCAACTCCATTTTGATTAGTACCCCCCTCTCTATACATCTCCCTCACCTTTGATGGTCTGCATTGGTCTTGACTGGTAGTGGTTAATAGCTAAAAAAAAATTGCCATGGGTGATTTGGTGATGGAAAGAAAACTGTTAGGTTGTGTGCAAGAACACTTCTGGATATAAAAAAAAGAGCTGAGTTCTAACAGTTGGAATAGTGGGTGATTTATTGGTTCTGAAGGGGTTCAGTTCTGAAGAAGTGTCACTAGATCTGAAGCATTAACTCTGCTTTCTCTCCACAGCTGATGCCAGATATGCTGAGTTTTTTCAGCAATTTCTGTTTTTGATTCTGATTTCCAGCATCTGCAGTTCTTTAGTTTTATTGATTTAGTAGTACTGACTAATAAGTGAAAATCGCCACAGATGATTTGAAAATGGAAAAAGCTGTTTGGTTATGTGTGATAGCCCTTCTGGATATAAGAAAAGGCTGATGTCCACAAGAAAGGGGAGTTGGTTATGAAGGGGAGAGGGCAGATTGAAACTTGTATTGAGCTATGAAATGCGAATAAGCAGTTGAGGACGACAGAAAGACTTCAGCTTTCTGTTTCAGTAAATGAATGATTCACAATGTTACATGGTAGCAGAGGATAAACTTTGGCCTCTTCAGATGGGAAGATAAATAAAAATTTTACTTCTAACAAAAGCTTGCAGAAGCTCTTTTTGCAAAATGGCTGAGCCACTGCAGTTTTACGAGCAATGTCTACCCACCATTCTTTAGGGATCCTGAACAATACAACAATGGAAGAATGATGTGGAAATGTGGACTCCAGTGACTTCCCTAACTAGGAAGAAACAGAGTATGAGAGATAGTAGAAACTGCAGATGCTGGAGAATCCGAGACAACAAGGTGCAGGGCCGGATGAACACAGCAGGCCAAGCAGCATCATAGGAGCAGAAAGGCTGACGTTTCGGGCCTAGACCCTTCATCAGAAAAGGGGGAGGGGAAGGGGGTTCTGAAATAAATAGGGAGAGAGTGGGAGGCGGATAGAAGATGGATAGAGGAGAGGATAGGTGGACAGGAAACAAACAGGTCGAAGAGGCGGGGATGGAGCCAGTAAAGGTGAGTGTAGGTGGGGAGTTAGGGAGGGGATAGGTCAGTCCAGGGAGGACGGACAGGTCAAGGGGGCGGGATGAGGTTAGTTGGTAGGAGATGGAGGTGCGGCTTGAGGTGGGAGGAGGGGATAGGTGGGAGGAAGAACAGGTTAGGGAGGCGTGGACAAGCTGGACTGGTTTTGGGATGCGGTAGGGGGAGGGGAGATTTTGAAGCTTGTGAAATCCACATTGATACCATTGGGCTGCAGGGTTCCCAAGTGGAATATGAGTTGCTGTTCCTGCAACCTTCGGGTGGCATCATTGTGGCACTGCAGGAGGCCCAGGATGGACATGTCGTCTGAGGAATGGGAGGGGGAGTTGAAATGGTTCGCGACTGGGAGGTGCAGTTGTTTATTGCGAACCGAGCGTAGGTGTTCTGCAAAGCGGTCCCCGAGCCTCTGCTTGGTTTCCCCGATGTAGAGGAAGCCACTCCCACCTCAAGCCACACTTCCATCTCCTACCTACTAACCTCATCCCGCCCCCTTGACCTGTCCGTCCTCCCTGGACTGACCTATCCCCTCCCTAACTCCCCACCTATACTCACCTTTACTGGTTCCATCCCCGCCTCTTTGACCTGTTTGTTTCCTCTCCACCTATCTTCTCCCCTATCCATCTTCTATCCGCCTCCCACTCTCTCCCTATTTATTTCAGAACCCCCTTCCCCTCCCCCTTTTCTGATGAAGGGTCTAGGCCCGAAACGTCAGCCTTTCTGCTCCTATGATGCTGCTTGGCCTGCTGTGTTCATCCAGCCCTGCACCTTGTTGTCTAGAAACAGAGTATGGTCTTGGCATTGTTGTTACAAGGGAAAAGTAAGATTACAAATATTTTCAGGACCAGATGTAAAGGACTTAGATTACAAAGAGGAATTTGCCAATTTTAATAAAATTTCTGGACAACAACATTTACAAAAAAGACAATTTATTGGAAACCTATGAGGCATGGTCACTCTTCCAATTTTAAGAACAGACAGCCAGAAATGGAAGAATATAACATGAATTTTGATAGATTATATAAAAGACTAAAAATAAATTAGAAATCCCAAATCTGAGTTTATGTTCAAATTATTAAATTGAGTGCAAATCTTACATATGGATAGGCTATCAGTTTTCACATAGAGTCCCTGGAGTGTTGAAACAAGCCATTCAGCCCTACAAGTCCACATCAATTCTCCAAAGAGCATCCCACCCAGACTCACCCCTCTACCCTATACTTCCCATGGCTAATCTACCCAACATACACATCTGTGGACTGTGGGAAGAAACCCACACAGAGACCGGGATAATGTGCAAACTTCGCACAGACGGTCAACCAAAGCTGGAATTGAACCCAGGTCCTAGCACTGTGAAGTAGCAGTGCTGACAACTGAGCCATCATGCATTCAATTTGTAATAAAGATTTTCTTTTAGAACAAAGGACTGCAGCTATAAAGAAATTTTTGGGAAAACAGTCTTTTCCTGTTACCTTCATGTCACAAATCGGGAATTCAGAAAAGAGGACTCCATGATTATTAACTTTCAAAATCGCCAGGGAACTAGTCACATATACGGTGTAAAGAGGACTTACTAAAAGATGATCTGAGGTGGATCAAGACAAAACACGAGATTTGGATGGCAGCTGAAAGAGCGTAAACCCTAGAAGATCATGGGAAATGATTAATAATTGTTTTTGGTATGAATTAAGATATCATTATGTAAAGAATTGTCTAAAAAACAGAAACTGAGTATTTGCAGTAAATCATGATTTGGACTGCTTTTCAGATGAGTATAATTTTTTTTCATCGAATCCCTACAGTGTGGAAACAGGCCCTTCAGCCCAACAAGTCAACCCAGACCCATCCCCCTAGAACCCTCCTAATCTACACATCCCTGAAACACCATGGGCAATTTAAACATGGCCAATCCACCTAGCCTGCACATCTTTGCACTGTGGGAGGAAGCCGGAACACACAGAGGAAACCCACGCAGACATGGGGATAATGTTCAAACTCCACACAGACAGTCACCCAAGGGTAGAATCAAACCCAGAACCCAGCTGCTGTGAGGCAGCAGTGCTAACCACTGTGCCGCCCCTAATAATGAGAATGAATGGCATAAAAATATTGAATTAATTGATGAAAACTTAAATCCATCATGAGTATCTTGGTTGTCAATTCATTTAATTGTGATGTATTAGATAGTTGCTGCACCTCAACAGTGCGTAATGTAGATCAGCTAAACTGCTTAACTGGAAACCCTTGATAAGGCAAACCCTTAACAATACTCTTAGGGAGGCCAAAGGAAGAAGAATAAGAATAAACTTAAAGTTTCCCTAAAGCATTGACACCATTGACCAAGTGTCAAGTCGGCAAGCTGCTGCCTGCTCAGCGCAGCATCTCTTCGTCCGTCAACACATAAACTAACTTGAGGCTCGGTGACTCACCTGTGAAGTAAAATGGCAGCAGCACAGTGAGAAGAAGGAAACCAACCTGTAGAGAGAACTTTTGGATTCACACTTTGGCTTCTCAGACATCTGAAGCTTGATTTAACCTGACAGATGGCATCCTCAATTCCGAGGTGCCACCAATGATGACAGCAACTACAACACCAGCATCTACAGGTAATATTGAAAGTTACCCATATTTGTCCTATCCAATATAGCCATTATTACCGTGTCAATCTTCTCCCAATCATCAGCAAAATGAAGGAAGGGGCCAATGATAGTCACACTTGATCAGCAGTAACCAGCTCACTGATGTTCAGTTTGAGTTCCGCAAGGGCCAGTCAGCTCCAACCTTTATTATAGCCTTGCTCCAAACATGGGCAAACTAGATGAACACCGGAGGTGAGCTGAGAGTAACTCCCATAACAACAAGGCAGCATTTGAATGAATATGGCATCAAGTAGCCCTAGAAAAACTGTAGCCAATGAGAATCAGAGGAAGCTCTCTACTGATTGGAGCCATATGCAGCACCTAGGAAGATGCTTGTTGCAGAACATTGTTATATTTTGGGGGTTGAATACCACAATTACTTGCTGTAGGTACAGTTGACCATTCATAAGGAATTGTCAGATAGTTTATTAAGTTTCATAGGAAGCAGTTGCTTAGATATGATTCATTAGTTAACTGAACAGAAATGTTTACAACTTGCCACAAATCGAAATAGTGATTAAAATGACGCAGCATCCTTGTCTTCAGATAAAATAGCTCTCAGGTCTTCCACCTCATCCCAGTCTTCAATGGCCCGTTCTTTTTTCCATTGAGGGGAAACCACCTATTTATATGCGCCCTTTTATGTCCTGTCAGAATTTTGTAAAATTCAGTGAGATCATCACTTATACTTCAAAACTCTAGAAAATACAAGCCCAGTTTCTCCAAAAAGGGAATACCTAACTATCTCCTCTTCAGTGACATCATCATTGCTGAATCCCCCATTATCAAAATCGCAGGGTTATCATTGACCAGGAATTGAATTGAACTAGCCACAAATATACTGTAGATATAACAGAAGTTCAGAGGCCTAGGGTTCTGTGGCAAGTGACTCACCTCCTGACTCGTGAAAGCTAATCACCATCTACACAGCACAAGTCAGGACAGTGATAGAATATTCTCCACTTATCTAAATAACTGAAGCTCCAACAACAATCAAAATGCTCACCACTATTGAGGACCAAGCAGCGCTAGATTGGCAGCCAATTAATTACATTGAACATTCACTCTCCCCACTAACAAAGGGCTGTGGCTACAGTTTGTGTCATCTCCAAGATGCACTATAGCAGTTTGTGAAAGCTTCTTTGACAGAACCTCCCAAATCCATCCTAGAAGAACGTGAACAGGAAGCACACTTTTTTCAAATTGCAAACAATCTTGGCTTGGAGCTACACCACCGTTCCTTCACTGTTCTGGACTAAAACTGTGGAGATCCCTTCACAACAATATATGGCTATACCTACGCCATATGGACTACAGCAATTCAACTAACTAGCTAACTACAACTCTCCCAGCGCAATTAGGGCTGGTCGTAAATACTGGCCTTGTCAGCAACACATATGATCCTTTGGATTAATTAAAATTAAGAGGAATCCTTGCAGCATGATATTTTATGGGTGCAACACAGTATTTTCATATTTTATCTTTTCACTGCAGTCTAGTTCCACCAGACACTTGCAGTTTGTGATAATGCAGAAAAAAAACAGCATGTGATAGATAATGCTTCTTTTCCTGAAAACTGCTTATGGGTAATGTAACTGTTTATATTTAGATGTACGTGAGACTTGAAATCATGTTCAGACATATTAGTAACAAGCTCAATAACATGTTAACAGTCACTTTGGCTGTTTTTTAACAACAGTGTCAACCTATTTTTAGAAATATTTAATTGATTCCGTTACTAATTTGATAAGCACGTCTTTCACTGTACCAATTCCACTTGCTATAAAGTCTTCTTCTAACCAGCTCAATCTTATTCTGCATGTCTCCAAACTTATGTTTGACACCTTACAAGTCTTTTGGATGATTCATTGTTCCCGAGGATTTGAAATACTGCACTTTATTTAGAGAAGGGTTAATGATGTAAGGCAAATGATTTATCTTTGAAATTGGAAATGTATTTGTGCACTTGATTTCCAGAAGAATTATTGGTGTCAGGCAGGAGAAGCATTATTATTAAAAACCCAAAAGATTTTGAAGTGCCTGTTGACTCTACTATGTCAGCCAATGAGCTAGAACTGGGGTGGGACTTATAGTTGTACTTGCAGCAAAACAATCAAATTCTATTCACAGAGTATGTTTAAAAAAAGTCTCCACAAGCTGAAGGAAAGATAATTCATGCATGAAGGGAAAAATTGCTGTGTTCTGGGGAGAGAGTAGGAGAATCTGACTAATTGAATAGTTCTCTCAAACAGCTTACGCAGGCACAGTTGGCCAAAGGGAAAATATGTAGTAATCTCTCAAGCAAATGCAGTGAACAAATAATCCTTCTACATTTTAAAATTGATTATTACCCTCAGCAAAATGCAGTGAGTGAAGTAGTTATTTTCTACAAATTGTGTACATATGGTCATACATTGTCAGCAACTCACCAAACCTCCTTCAACAGCATTTTCCAAACTAGAAACCTCCATCACCTAGAAGGACAAAGGTAATAGATAGTTAGGATTACCACCACCTGAAATAAAATGCCTCTCCATGTCGCACGCAAACCTGACTGAGAACTGTTGTTCTCTCCCTGTCACTGGGTGAAAAACTTGAAACTCCCTCACTAACAGCATTCTGGGTCCAGTCATACCAGAAAGACTGTGATGGTTCAAGAAGCTGACTTATCACCTCCTTCTTAAGGACAAATAATGAAGGGTATCAAGTGCTGGCCATGCCAGCAATACTTACTTCCCCAAATAATTTTTAAAAATCAATCTCAATCATTTGTAGTGGTGCTATCTCTATGTATGATTAATTGTGGAATTACCCAGTCATCTTTAGTTTGCTCGGATCGGTGATGTTACACTAAAAGCCACTGGATCATTTATACTTCTGCTGCAAACCTTGTGGGATAATGATGGAAATGCCTGAAAAAGCTGGAACGTCAGCTGGTCCCAGTTTTCTGAAGCAGTTCTTATAAGACCTCTTTAGGAACAAAATTTTAACCTATCTCAAACAAGGCCAATACTAGAAAAGAAGTGATTAGATATTTGGTTGCCAGGCACACTGGTACTGAGCCGGAACACAAAGTGAATTCAAATATACTGGTTTACCCTTAAAGATATTGACATTTTACCTTTTTGTCCCCTTATAAAGGGGCTAGTAGGCACACTGGTATCTTATTTTGGAGGAGCATTGGAGGGGCATAGAGGCATGGAGAGGTTTGGGCCTACAGCCAATGGCATGGAAAATCAGGCAGAATTTAGAAAGGGTGGTCTGATCTGCCTCCATCTGTTTTTCACCCTCTCTGATGTTGAATTTCACTCCCATTGTGTTCAGTTCTCATTTTAGTCATGTATTCATTTACTTTTACAATATTGTGATGAGGAAATGGAGAAGAGACCCATAACACAGATTCGTTGCACTGTTTGTTCAATACATGCAGTTCTGGAGGTTTTGGTTGGCAAAGGAAGTTCCTGTTTAAAGACAGGCAAAGGAAGTGCTTTGAAATGTTAAATGTCACTGGAGCATATGCTGAAACCTGTTGTTTCTCAGCATTAATATTGTACATATGGTAACTAAACATCTTCATATAACTCAGCATTGCAGGGTCATTGGGAACATAGTGGATAAATATTTTGAATGAGTCAAACAGTCCATTTTGCAGTTTTTGAGGTCATTAGTGTTCAATTTTTCGCATCAGTTTTTTTTCTCACCTCCTAGTATTTTGATACAGTTAAACCTTTGTGTAAATTCTGCTGTATTACTAAGCCGTCAATGGGTTTGACAATAAGACAAGTGACAAGTATGACAAGGACAAAACTGTAACCAAGTAGGATGAGTTGCATAAAAGAATACTTAAAGGATAATCATATTAGTATTGTGGTACAATAGACACTAAGTGATACTAAGAAAAAGGTCTAAAAACATCTCTTCTGCAAGAAGTTGCAGAATTTTACACTTCATGGTCAAGAAAGTATATCAAACCCCATTTAACATAGTTCAATACTATTCATATTGGCTTAAATTCTGCATTGAGAATCATGGTGAAGTAAGAGCATTCACTTATTATTGAGAAATTGAACAACAACTTGCAAATTGTCCTGATTCTGTAGTTATGACTTGGTAATTTTGAGAAAAAGAATTGTTAAGAGCAATTGTTAATTGTTCCTTGTTTAAAAAAAAGTCAATCTGACTGTTAATGAGATACAAGAAGCTAAAAGCATAGTTGGTTATGTCTCCTGACCATACAACTGCAAGGTCAACATGGAATCAATAGACATGTCCAGACATTTAAAGATTCATATTCAGAAGACAAAGTTTTATCAAAACTTATTTTAATAATTTAAGTTAGGCACAGGCTACAACTAAAGCTAAGTACCTCAAGTGGGAGAGGTGCTATTTGCAGAATGCCAGTACCTTTGTTGGAACATGACTTTACTCTTTGCATAGGTCCCCTTGTAACAGCGGCCACCTTACGGTGCAAGTCAGGAATGCAACTGCCTAAATAAAAGAGAAACTTCATCTTGAACAATTAAATCAGACTGAGAGAACAGTCCTAGGACAGGGGTGAGAGAAGAAAGGACATCTCAAAACAAGTAATGGTCTGTTTTAAAGTGATCGGGCAGCCAAAAATGCCATGCCTGCAGAATCAGAAACCAGAAACCTACGTCTCCCTCTCCCTCTCCTAAGCCTGCCATTCTGTTGAATCAACCTGTGCAACATCATTCAAATATACAAATTAAGAAACATATGAATTAAGATCAGAAAAAGACCATTTGGTCTTTTGAACCTGCACTGCAGTTTAATAACATCATGGCTGACCTGTTTGTATTTGAATTCCAAAATAGCTATCAAACCTTGATAATCTTTGATTTCTTTGCCTCACAAAGCTCTAACTACTTGTGCCTTGAAGGATTATCCCAACTCCACTGATTTCTGATGCAGAGTTCCAAATTTGCACAAACCTCTGACAGAAAAAAAATTCTATCCATCTGTGTCTTTAAAGGATGACCCCTAATTTTAAACAATGTCCTCTAGTTCTCAGAATCACAATCTGATCGTGCAGAAAGTTTCAATTCAGCTCATTGTGTCTGCTCCATCTCTTCAAATGAGCACCCTAGTACCAGTCTCCTGCTTTTTTCCCTTACTTGTTACTTTTATCCAAATAATTATCTGATGCCCTCTTGAATGCCTCAGTTGAACCTGCCTCCACCTCATTTCCAGGCAGTGTATTCCATACACTAAATACTTGCTGTGTGATAAAGCTTTTCTCTCAAATCAAATTTACTTCTTCTGAAAACCACTTTAAACCTATGAGCTCTTATTCTTGTTCCTTTTACAAGCAGGAACAATTTCTCCTTGTCTGCTCTATCGAGCCCATTCATAATTTTGAAAACCTCTATCAGATCACTTTTTAGTCTTCTCCTCTCTAAGGAGAACCGTTCTAACCTTTTCAATCTATCCATATAACTGAAGTTTTTCATCCCTTGAGCCATTTTTGGAAATTGCTTCTGCACTCTCTCTAATGTGTTCATGTCCTTCCTGTAATGTGGTGCCCAGAACTAGACACAATATTTTACTTAAGGACTGACAAGTGTCTTACACAAGTCCAGTATCACCTCCTTGCTTTTGTGCTGTATGCCCCTGTTTATAAAACTGAGGATACTGCATGCTTTACTTACTGCTCACTCTACCTGTCCTGCAACTTCCAATCATCTGTGCACATATACACCCAGGTGCCTCTACACTTGCACAGCTACCTCCCTCCCCCTTCGAATTGTACCTTCTGATTTATATTGTCTTGCAATGTTCTTCCTATCAAAGTGCATCATCTCAATCTTCTCTGCATTGAATTTCATCTGCCACCTTTCCACCCATTTCACCAACTCGTCTATGTCCTCTTGGATTCTTACAATATCCTCCTCCTGGTTTACAATTCTTTCAAGTTTTGTGAAATTGCCCCTTGCACACCAAGATGCAGACCATTAATATATATCAGGAAGAACAAGGGTCCCAATTGTAACCCCAGGGGAACTCACTACAACCCTTCCTCAAATTGGCAAAATATCTTTTGACCATTATTTTCTGTTTCCCATTGCTCAGCCAATTATGTATCCACATTACTATTGATGGTTTTGTTCCGTGATCTAAAATTTTCTACACAAGTCTGGTGTCACTGTACCAAACACTTTCCACAAGTTGAAACCAAACCAGAGTGCTGGAGAAACACAGCAATTCTGGCAGCATCTGTTGAGAGAAAAACAGAGTTAACAATTTATAGTCCAGTGACAAAGGGTTGGAGTCTGGAAGAGTTCTAGTCGCTGTGGGATTACTGTGTAGATTGATGTGCCTGGGGAAAACACTCCTGTTGTTCCATAGGAATGTTAAAAAGAATCTCATCTTATTTCC